CCGCTTACGCGATTATAGCCTCTTTTTTCGTTTGCCATGGTCGTCATCAAAAGTGGGGTCTCTCATCCGAGGCTGTTTTCATTGGGTTGGGTTTCTAAGTGGCAGGTCCCAAACCCAGCGGACAACCCTATGCAGGGAATGTTTCGCCTTCTTACTTTAGCTCGCCTTCAAACGGATGTTCTTAGGCTACCCAGAGGATACTTGGTGAAGGACCGTAAGTCGTGAGCTGCTTGAGTCATATGTAAAATAATCGTTTCTAGCCACTCCCAAGTGAATGGCGATCAGAAAACTTTCCTCACTTGCCTGAACTTCTACACATGACTCCATCCTCCTAAAAATATGCCATAATAGAATCTGAAACTTGCTTATTTGTTCCCTCTAAAGAAAAATAGAGCTCGCCGGGTCCTTCAGTACCTAATGTAAAGATTTTCGAACTTCCGGATCTTTACAATTCTGAAACGTACGGCGGAATTTATTCCATATATACGTTTACATTTGTATACTTGAGGACTCGTCCACGCTTCACTGATACATTGTTAGTAGGGATGCTCGATCATCGATGTTAACTTACGGCCTCACCTCACCAAACCAATGCAACTTAGGAAACAAATTATGTCTTCTATGAACGCATCCACAAATCAAGTTTTTTAATTTTGAACGCGCCATTCACGGCCCACCGATTGTTCCCTTAATTCGTTCGTTCTTCGTGATTCGTCGTCTCGCTCATTTACGCTCAGTCACACTTCTATTTGTTTGTTGATGAAAAAATGTGTTGCGCGTATCCGTTTTAATTTACTGATTCGATAGTATTCTACTGATGTTGTGCATATATATTACATTTAATGCAACAATATGTAAGTTTTTAATGATTGAATTCTATCTAAGTATTGAATTCATCTGTTTGCTTTCTGCGCCTGCTAAAGGAAATTATTCTTTTTTAGGTTATAAATGCTCTACTAGAGACAAGGAAAGCAAAGACAGAGCATATCTTTGTTCTTTCACCCAAAATTTGAATAAGCAATAGACACTTAATCTCTTGTTTTTTACGGCTGTGGTGTAAATGCCTGCTGTGTTGGTTGCATTAAAAGTAGTATAATAAGGTGATATAACATTTTATTTTGTGTACTTTTCAATGAATATTTTTGCATGTTTTGGTTATTCGAGTTAATGTCTGTATTTTATTTTCACTTAATTGTATGTTGTCAGGGATACAGGAATAGAATTAAAAATGCCGTCAAAAAGTTGCCTTCAGAGTTGAGTTACTTTTTGAAAAATCCAGTGTCCGATTTTAAACATCTTAAACAAGATCCTCTCCAAGTTTGGAATAATGTCATCGGTTCCACTTACCCGAAACTAAAAAAAATAGCGGCAAAATAGTTGAGTACTATCGCGACATCAACGCCATCCGAAAGACTGTTTTCAAAAGCTGGTTCTACTCTTTCTCAACAAAGAAACCAATTAAAAGGATCTTCTTTATCAAAATTACCTTTCCTTCAGTCAATTAAGAAAAAATATTGGGATATGTAATAATTTTATCTTTTGTTTAATAAATTTCGAACTTATAGATTGTGTTTTATTTCTTTGTCAATTATTAATGTAAAAATTATCGATGGATCCAACATCGATGTTCGGTTTTCGATAAACATCGAACATCGATGTTGAACTTTCGATTATGACATCGATGTTTTTTGAATATAGAACATCCCTAATTATTAGTACTACTAATACATCCATATGATTTCTGTTATTAAGATTATGACTATTATTTAATGAGATATAGCATATTTGTGAAGCAACTTGTGCTAGTTTACAAAAAAAAAAATGGATCATAAAGTATTTCGTGTATTAATAAAGCATTGCTTTTGGAGGAAAATACTGCTGAATTGGGGCTCTGGGAAATCCACTGTTGTAAAGATATTTGCTAAGCTGGAAACAAGCAAGTGGGTGCCTGGCAAGTTCATAATCCAACAAAAACAACGAATAACTGAATCTGAGAAGTGTTTGAGTGTTCTTTAATCGTAATAAAACCGAATTTTTGCATCGGTGTGTGACAATAGAAACATTTCTTCATCATTTCCCACTGGAGTCCAAACGACAGTCACTCTAGTGGACTGCACATGATGAACCGGTTCTCAGGCGTGGAAAGACGATAAAGTCGGCTGGTCGGAATAAATGAGAAGTATCCTATGTCCGTACCCTGGTTCGAAGCTACCTCCCCACTAATTTTCAGCCATCATCGGTTCAATCGTTCTTGAGTTATAAATGATGTAACTAACACAACTTTCTTTTATATATAATGTATAGATTTATAAAATTTATTGAAAGTATGCTCTCAAGTATACCTGAGTAATGACAAAAGAGGACGTAATCGGCCCTTTCATTTCTATGCCCCCAGTGACTTTAGTATAACTGAAAGGAAGTAAAATTAAATATCAAAACTAAGTGAGTCTATGATCTTCAAAATAAGTTATACTATGTTCGGACCGACATTGAAAACATTTTGAAAACACATTTGTATGTTGTGGAATCTAAGTCGTTCGGACCGACAATGTGTGTTTTCGATGAGTTTTCACTGACAACTGTTAAAAGCGGTATTCTCTTACTCTTTCAAGATTGCACGATGACACAAAATGCAAAAATCCTTTACCGAAATATGCAAAGCCAAGAGAGCACCCATTGCAGAATCTAGTGATATATGATGGCAGGAAAATAAACGTGGGTTTTGGTCTGACATATTTTACAGCCATTGCAATCAATTTTCTGCGTGTGTTTGTTGTTATGCCGTTGCACCAAAGTGAAAATTCTGCACTTTCTGCACGGTGCAAGGTTTTGCAAGAGCAAGGGAATCGCCCTCATATGAGAATATCAAGCTACAGCTGTATTTGTATGTGGATTGTAAACAAAACACGTCTTCCAAAAACATCGATTAAACTAGAGGCACCGATTATAATGAGTGGAATGTAAGTTTTCAATTAGTTTTCAGCGAAAACTGTGTTTTCGTTTGACAGATTTTACATGGACGAAAACACAAGCTTTCGTGTGAAAACCAGTTTTTGCCACGAAAACATGTTTTCGTTGTCGGTCCGAACATAGTATTAATATAATACCAAATTTGATTATAATCCATTCAACATTTCATCGAAAATTCTCGCTATATTTTTTTAATATTGCCAACATCTGAAGATACTTTGCCGGCTTTGGCAAAGAGTATGAAATGTTAGGTTTCACCCGGACTTAGCCCTTCTTTACTTGTTTTATGAATACTGTCTAAGCAACATATTTTTTACATATATCTACATTAAGGTGTTTTTTTGTTTTTGAACTATTAATTTTCTTGGAAATGCACTAAAAAAAAGTCCCTGAAAATTTTAACCCTGTAAAGATTTTCCATAGAAATTCCACACTACAATCGTAAGTTTTTATCTTTAAATTCCTACAGATCAGAGGTATTTTATGGAATCGCTTTGACGTTAGAAGCATATTTCTCAGAATTTTTCACTCAAAAGTGCCCAGTGCAACAAAGTCGTAACTCACACCAGCGAGGTAGTACGGAGCTCTAAACCCGATTTTTCCTAGAATTTCGCACTTTTTGTATATATCTTATAAAGGACAGGAGCTGTAGAAATAATTTAGGAAATTCTATTTGCTATAAAAAAGGTTCGAGGTCAAAATCGCTATCATTATTACACTTCTCGAGATATTCGGCTTTTTAAGTAAGGCTTTATAGAATTTTTGTAGACAGTATGTATTAAAAAATCTATGAAAATTTAATAAAGTCTTACTTAAAAAGCGGAATATCTCGAAAAGTATTAATGATAGCGATTTTGACTTCGAACCTTTTTTGTAGCAATACCTTGCACTTCAATGAAATTAGTGAGAACGACAACTGTCGGCCTGCAGTCGTGTAGTCGTGCAGCTCTCAAAATAATTCTCTCCAATAGAACGTGTGTATTTTAATATTAGGCAGATGTCGTTTGCGTTTGTTTTCAGCACATGACTGAACATTTACGTGACTTCCAATATTTGTGTTGCACACTTCTTTATGTCACACTCTATGTGCATATTTGCAAAATTTGTCTAAGAGAACAAACAAAGAAAAAAATCATATTTACATGCCATTATTAGTTTTTTAGTTCTCAAAATAATAAGAACAAATTTATATTTATTACTGGCATATTGAAACTGTTCTTTACTTGTTATTACCATTCAAAATACTTTGGAGCTTATATTGTCTAAATTATTGGAATAGGCACTGTCTACCATGATGGGCTTAAGATGAAATTATTTGTAATAGCATTGATGTTATAACTTTTTGTAACTTTGAGAACGTCTTCAGGTCTTTCATCCGAATTATGGTTTTGCCTGATACTCCAGAATACCCTTTTGCATCAGTGACAGATCTGTTAATCCGTTAAGGATTTTGCTGCCAGCTCTTATAGTGAGAACTTTTCTGGGCCAAATGAACATAGGTAAGTAAGTAAGAGGCTACCCCTTCTTGCTTAGTTTTTTGATGATGTTTTCCAAAAGTTCGATGTTTGATTGTGATAGAGGTGGGAACTGACTTTGTTTACTACGCTGGAGTTGATCTTTGACAACGACGAAGCTAGTAGTGCCGCTTGGTCAACTGTCTGTGTAAATGGTTGCCCTCTGTATCCTCCCGCAGTTGTGTCATAGAACTGCACAGGATTTGTTCGTGTGACTAAACTGTATAATGCAATAATAACTTTGTTCATATGCATCGATTGAATCGATCTGCACAACATGTCGTCAATACTGATCTGTGTCAGAGACTCGATGATCGTGCTTACTTTTATATTGTTAAAAGCTCTTTTTAAATAAAAAAATGTAGCCACTGTAATTACTGGAGATGTTTTTTACTATCTCGTTTAGGGCTCGTTGTATATACTGAAGTCTACGTGTTTAAAATTAATAAATAAGTAAACAGAAAATCTAAATCATTAAAAATAAACCACTCAAGTAATGAAATTTTTTCATTTCAGGTTTAATTTGACTTTGCCCTGTAACAACAAGGTAACCATTAATGCGCAACGAATAAGTTTCAGAAATAACTTGTCAAAGTCGTTTTGGCACTAAAAGAATAATAAGGAAAAAATAGAGGCTTAATAAGCAATTAATGCAGCCAAGGAATCAGATCTAAAAGTCTAGAATGATGCAAATATTATATTGGATGGCATAATGCTATTTACCATATCAAATTGAGGATGTAAGTTCAGCTTCAGAAAACATTTATTCTGAAACCTTATTACAGCGTTTGTTCGGAAAGTAATAGGACTGATTTTTTTTCGCTGCAACTGTACTTCGGAGCGTGCGCGAGTTAATTTTTACATGAAGTAAAAATTAGTCAAGAGAATAAATTTTTGAGCTGCACCAAAATGCGTACTTTTTATTAATACTCTTAGGACTAACTTACTACACGGTTCTTACTTCTATTTATACTAACTAGTGTGTTTCCTCGTTACTAGTGGACAGTTTGTTAAGATACGGGTGTATATTATTATATTTGTTGAGGCTTTACATATACACATATATTGTTTGCTTAGATACATTTCCTTTGTTCTAAGATAAGATTAATAGGGTAATGTTTTGATCCATTTTCTTTAATGTTATTTTGATACGATACATTCTGTTTATATCATAACGAATACGTTCCTTAACTCACGAACTGACTGGATTCGATAGAGAGCGTTCCTAGCTAACGTACAAGCGCCTGGTCAGTTGTCTCTGAGTACCTGGAGAGTCAGGACAAACACGTGACGGGTTTCTGTGAGTGGTGCAAGCCGAAAATACAGTCCTCGTTAGAGCAAAGGTACGCGATTAAATTCTGTATCAAACTCGGTAAATCTGCGACAGAGATGTTTGATATTATTAAGCAGGCTTAACCAGCTTTAGAAGTGGTGTGTTTCGGTGGCACCAGGCCAGGGTCAATCGGGTCCGAAAAGACATCGCAGCTGATTAGAAGATGCACCAATACAACGCCCCTGCTCACCTTACCTTTCTTGTGAATAGATACCTAACTAAGGACGGCATCCCATCTTCCGCAGCCGCCCTACAGTCCAGAGCCGCAGAGGGAGCCTATTTTAAAAGTTTTTAAAGAATTATAACAATTGGTTCAATAAATTTTTTTAAATCGACTCACTTCTTTTACTTTCCGGACAAACTCTGTATACACACTTAGTGAAACACGTATTTAATCTTTTAATAGTACTACCCTTTAAGCCGATATTGGAAAAGAAAAAAAGTTGGTTCAAAATTACAATCTAAGAACGGAACTGCAAGATTTTAAATGTATGGAACATTGTCAATACTCTTCTTCTTTACTGACGTAGGCCACTGCGTTTCTTCTTTTCCCAATGTGGCGCCTATTGGCGATTCTAAGCAAAGCTGGGTCCTTCTCCACCAGACCTTTCCAACGGAGTGGAGGTCTTCCTCTTCCGCTGCTTCCCTCGGCGGGTATTGCGTCGAATACTTTCAGAGCTCTAGTGTTTTCGGCCATTCCTCTGCATAGAAGATAAGAATAATAAGTGACTTATAGAGTTTGGTGGTTTGGTGAAGTTATAACTATCAACAGTGAAGTGGGAGCCTTGTTGCGAGTACGACAACTGTTGGTTTGATGAAAGGAGATATTTCGTCTTGATCTCTTTCACCACCAGACCCATTTGCTTCGCTTCCTTATCCATTCTGAAGAAAGCATAATTAACGCCGCAGTTGTTGAGGCACACATTTCACAGTTCCCTTATACCGAGTTTCTGACGAGTGCTCTCAGAGAGCAGGGGTGCATGTCGAGTCCAAAATCGTTCGGCTGTCTGTTGTGAATGTAGCTTCTCGATGTTGAATATTCCTTGTGTTTGTTGACATGTGGCTTTTGGCCGTATCTTGGCTGTAACAAGATAGTGGTCCGAGTCGATGTTAGGACCTTGCAGCGTACGCTCTAAAATACTGGTGACGTGTCTACCATCTATCACAATATGATCGATCTGGTTGATAGCACTTCGATCCGGCAACAACCGGATGCTGGAGGCTAGTACTAGAGATCACCAATATTTTGGGCCCGGGCGAAGTCGATCAGCCTCATCCCGTTTAGGGATGTTTCATCATGGAGGCTGAATTTACTGACCGTTATGCCAAAGATACCTTCCTTGCCCACCTTGGCGTTAAAGCTTTTGTTGTTTTAACGGTTATCAGTCCCTGTTAGGATGGTGAGGGTTATCAGTGTTGTCGTCGACGTCATCTAACGGCCCAGGGTACGTGCTGTTTCGACGGGGTCGGACCAAAAGGAAAAGGGAGTTATATGGGTGGGGTTGGTTGGGCATGCAAAGAGGTTGCCAGTGTCAGGCGGAGACTCGTTGCATGCAGGACATACATTAGGTATGTCAGGGTCTATTCTGGATAAGTAGGAGTTTAACCAGCTATAATGTCCAAAACGAAGTTGCGCAAGGGTCACTCGCGTTTCTCACGGCAACTCGAGCTTTTCGTCTGCGATGGGTGATGGTTTGACTACAAGTACGCCATTCACGGGAAGGGAGTCGGTAAAGGTGTTGATGACTCCACTGTGAATGGCGGTCAGTGCCTGCCGAAAGTCTGTTGCGTCCGAGGTCCTGTCGGCGTATTGTACGATGTCGACGACGTGGTCAAGGAATGACCTCTTGATGCTCCTAGGAGGCGGTTCCGCCCCAAGGAGGTAATTGCAAGGATGATTTCTACGAAAATTTCTACGAAAACATCCTTGTAGGAAAAGCTTGGAGAGGAGTTCATTATGCTCCTTAACTGGGAGCATAAGCGTCTCACTATCGTGTTCGATGGGAGACATCAAGAGGCATCCCGTCGTGGTCCGGAGTGCTGTATTCTGGCAGGTCTGGAGTTTCCTCATCTACGTGCAACTGCATCCAGGCGACCATATGGGTGCTGCGTAGTTAAGGACCGGCCGGCCGGTCTTATAAGTTGCCAACAACGTTTCTTTGTCTTTTCCCCATGTGCTGCCGGCTAGAGACTTGAGGATTTTGTTGCGGCTCTGTATTTTGGCGATAATCGCGGTTGTTTGGGGAGAGAAGGAGCATAGACTGTCGAAGGTGACACCTAAAATCTTAGGGTTATTGACAGTCGGAATTTGACGCCGTCGACTGCAATATTAAGTTCCATTCTATACTCCTTCGTCCAGTTCGTGAATATGGTCGCTGTGGATTTGGTGGGGGAAAGTTGGAGGTACAGTCATCTGCGTGCGAGGTTATGGAAACACCCTCTGGTGGTTGCGGGAGTTTCGAGATGTAGAAGTTAAACAGTAGCGGGGGAGGTTGCACCTCGAAATAGTACGGATGACTGACGACCGTTCAGATAGTTCATGGTCCACCTCTTGCGCCCTGGAGGAAGCGTGGTTTTCTCAATGTCCTGCAGTAGCGTTGTGTGGTTGACCGTGTCAAAAGCTTTTGACAGGTCCAACGCTACGAGGATCGTTCTCTCACAGGGTGGTTTCTGGTTGAKGYCAMGAACTATCTGAGCGTTTATGACGCTAAGTGCTGTGGTAGTACTGTGCACTTTTCGGAATCCATGCTAGTGGCTGGCTAGGCTCAGGTGGTGAGTGAAGGTCGGGAGTAACAAGGCCTCAAGTGTCTTCACTACTGGGGAGAGGAGAGTTATCGGTCGTTAAAGTCGTCAAGTAAGATTTTGACATGATGGCATCTTTGGTCAGATGGTCCTTCTCCTCCGTCAGGGCGTGGGCGCAAATCAGCGATGTGCTGAATTCTACCGGGGTGAATGCGAAGACACGGCGACGAAGTCTCTCTCCCACCACGAATTCCACACTGAATTTGCGCTTCTTTCTTCTTTGGACGACGGTGATGTCCGCCTTTATTTTTACGAATACATCAACTAGCTGAGTAGTGGCACCTTTCCAATTAAAGGACCGGAGATTCCAGGTGAATGCCTTCAAATCATAATGAGAACCGCTCAACTATTGAACTTTGACAGTTGACTGGATTGGGTAGGTTTTGTCGTTTTGCAATTAGAATGACTGGAACGGGCAGATTGAAAATATACCAAAAATATATGTGAACGATAAAATTTTTTGCCGCCGTTCAAGATCGCTAATAAAAATTTAAAACAATGAAAATCAAAGAAAATTCGAAATTTAAATATATTTCATGAAACGTTTTGCATAGTAGAATAATATTTCAATTACAAATGATCAAAAACATTTATTATTTATTAACTAACAGGCATAATTCGTCTTATTAAGTAAGGAAAGATCAAAAGTTAGTTGTTTTAATATACCATAAAATCATAAAAAAAGGATGTAAGTAGTTTCGCCATATATTAAAAGTCCAATATACATATTATATAATAATATTCAATCCTAATAAATGTTGGGTGATTTAATATATGCCCAAAAATTCTTATTTTGTTTGATCTGGCCATAAAGGAAAATGATATAAAAATGAGGCGCTCTGACACTTGAATAAGTTGGGCATCCCCAATATTTTTTTTTACCTTTTTTGGAGAAGTGGAGAGTTAGCTTGGAAGGAGGGTAAGGACATAAAATACTTTTTATCTCTTTATGTTACGCGAGATACTGAGAACGTGCCGAATGTAAAAGATGCCGGTTAAGAAAACGTCCGTTCGCGATAATGGTTTTTGTACAATAGAATTCTTTAATACCAGAATTTCATGGCTGAGCCTAAAACTTAAACTAGTGTTAAGTATGTATACAAAAAGAGGAAAGTATATGTAGTTCAAGTTAATCTCAAAAAATTCATAGTAATAGAGTATGGTAATACATTTGTAATATATGATGTTTTTGGTAATATAAAAATGGTAAATATTTTATAAAATATAAAAAATATTTTATAATTTATTCAATTATTATCTAATTCATTTAATAATTTTATTATAATTTGCATAAAATTTTTTTGGGTGAATTATTCGGTTAATTCAAAAAAAAAAAAAAAAAAAAAAAAAAAACCACTTGCGGAGCGGAAGCACATGCTCTACTACCGCTCCCAATTTTTTGCTACCGCTACGCCAGAGTAGAGCACTTATTTTTTTGCTGTCGCTTCAGCTATAGTTTTTTACCTTACAAAACTCGGTGCAGTGTTATGCTACGGCTCTGCTGTGGCCGACAATGTAGAGCGGCAGCGATAGCAAAATGAAATGATACAGGAGTAGCGTAGTTTTTCAAACGCTGAGTATATTCCTTTAAAAACAATAAAATCGCCGGCTTTTGTACAAGCACAGAAAAGCAAATTTTTGTTTTACTTATTAAACGTAATAAATTAAAAACTATAATTATAATTATATAATATAATTAAATTTACTTGTGCTTACCGCAAACATTAAGAAAACTTGTATTTGGTTTTTTTTAATGGCGGACGAACGAAAAAGACAAAAAAATGTTTTTAAGAAGGTATAGTGATACGGTTTGCATGGCCACGAGTGGAGGTTAAGTACTTTCGGAGTTATGCTCATTAAACCTTTAAGAGGGCGGGCCACGCCCACTTTTTTGAAATGAATTTTTAATCCACAGATGAGTCTTTTGGAACAAATAACGGTACTTAATTAGGAGTTTAGTTATAGCTTCCAACCCCACTTGGGCAGCAAGAAAGTACCATGTTTTTTCAAGATCTTTTTATTTTTACTCAAGTTATCGCTTGGGTGGATCAGACAGGATCAGAATTCAACTCGTCTTGTCATCATCGAACATTTATGTAAACATATGTAGACATATATGTAACGCTACATCTATCGCGATTATTTTAGGTGTTACAAACAACGGCTAGACGAATAAAAACTATAAAACATGTTGCAGGAATATAAAAATTCTTATATTAGTATATTGGCGCTATTCAAGGATACGCTCTGCTTAAAAATAGATTCCGTCTGAAATTTATTATGATATCTTGACCGTTCGAAAATATTTGTATATGGGTGCTAGGAAACTATTGACCGGAACTAACCCTCTTTTGCCAAAATTGTACACCATGACCAAATCACTATTTATTCGGGGAGTTTTTGAACTTTTGGTAGTTTTCTACTTGTATACGGATATGAGAAGTAAGCTTGGTTATTATCCTATTTAACATTGACAATGTTCTGAAAGAAATTGTTCTCAGTAATTTTGATTAAGTTTAGTGTTTTATGAGAAATGCACTCCAAATTTATTAAAGGCGGGCCCTTGTCCACTTATTAAACATTTTAAAGCCACAGATGCTTTGCCTACTTTAATGCCTTGTAGCAAATTATGTTTTTTTGTTTTTACGCTGTTAAAAGCTTTTACAGTTTTGGGCAAAGAATAGTTTGTGGGCTGCAATAGCGACTTTCTAACATAATGTGTAACAAATTTTAAAACTGTATTCGATTCCCCTGCTCTGTTCTTTGGTAAAAAAATTTATGTAAAACCAAGAACTAAGTTATTGAGTTAAATTCGTATAAGAGAGTATATCTAGTTACAGTCGTATAACCGCTGCCTTCAGTGCTACCAAGTTTTTGTTTTGCAAAGGGTTATTGTAACGTTTTTTAACGCGAAAAAAATCCTCCACATGAAGGAATCGGTGTAAATTGTTCAGATCGGAACATTATAGAATATAGCTGCCATTAAAATTGAGCGATCAAGATACATTTTTTTTATCAAACCATATTCCTTTATTAGGTTGATAAGTATATCAGACATCGTGGATATCGAATGAACCAACAATATGTTGTCCGTTGAATGCAAAGTTTTGGTCGGTTAGCTTTTTAGATTATTTATACTCTTATATAACATATATGTATTATAGTTGCTGTAAGAAATGAATCTATGGAGTATAATATATTATAGGTTCGGTTCAGCTTCTTTTTTAAAGTACAAATGTTTGCCACACCGCGATCCTTCAAACCAATCTTAAGATTTGTCATCCGCAATACCAACCTCGTGAGAACCAGGAACATTTGTACCATCAAGCTTTGTCAATGTATCTAAAGTTTAACTTAAATTAGCATTGGTACGATCATCTAATCTTGATATATGAAAATAAACTTGTGTCTATCACGATTACTTGTAGATGTTGCAAATATCGCTAGGTGAAAAAAACTGTTGCACTTTTTGCAACCTGGTGTTAAAGTATAATAATATTAGGTCAAAGCCTCGTGGGAACCGCAAGAAATGTACAAACGAGAATGTTATAAAGAAATAAGGAAATATTAAGTTACAGAAGCGATTAATCGTTTATTTTGTCAAAAACACAAAAAACCTAAACCAACAAGAAAGAAATTTATGATTTACTAAACTTTAGTGTACATAAATATATGTCCTTCTTGTTAGGTGGCACAAGTCCGCACATTTGGTGTTACAGCTAAGCGGAAAATTTTAGTTAGACAGCCGTTAGAGATACTGGAGGGGTTGTTCCATGACTGGATTACACAATTCTATGAAAGATTTAAAATATGATAATAAACGATAGCTTTGTATAGGGAAACGACAACATTAGCCCCACTCAGTACAGCCAGCGAAATTAACAATATCTACGAATACAAGAAGAATAGGGGAAACCGCAATTTAAAAGAAACATTTTGCCCATTTGTAGCCAAAAAAGCTGACAATATTAACTTAATTGATCAGCATATATTCATCAGGCTCCAGAGAAATAAGAGTTATAATTTAGATATAAGCAATGAAATTAGCAACAACGTAATAGGAAAAAGAACAGAAAAAATAGAAGGTATTACAACTGATAAATCGACTCTTAACAAGCTTAAAACTCCCACCAAATACAATATTGTAGATGATACTATCAGATTAGAAACTACACTGGAACACGAAATGAATCCCCAAAACATTACCTTTCAATTGCCGGGAAATGAGAATTTTTCGAATAATTTGTCCGACTCTAATTACAGTGGGGTGCTAAAGGTGGACGCTGTTTCCTTTGAAGCGTTTAGCGAGCGTATATTAAACGATAACAGTGACAATATTAGTGAAACCGGCATCAACAAAATGGATATAACTGAACGTGAACGGGATCGCAAACGTAAACGTTATTTAACTGAAGAAGATCACAGCCGTATAACACGCAACAAATTGCAACAGCAGCACCAACTACAACATGAACAAGAGCTCACGGAAAAGCTTCAAATAGAGGCCCAAAGCCGTCTAGTATGCATGACAGACGAGGGTGATAAAACAACAGTGTTTTCTAAGGACTTGCATCTCTCAGAGTTTATTTCATCGAATTACGACAGTAGCAATATCGAAGGCAGTAGTCCTTATTCGAAAGAAGTCGAAGCACATGCAAAAAAGCTACTGCGTTCATCTATAACTGGTCTCAAGCAAGCAACTGTCACAAAAGTTAGCAAGAGAAGTTATGCTTTGGAACGCAAGCGCTTAAAACAAGATGAAGACGCTAGTTACCGGGATCAAAGTAAACGCGCGCTGATAAATAAATATCGCAAACGTATGGCTCAAAAAGTAGTAAAAAAATCGGATATTACAAGTTCTAATTGCTGTGAGAATGATGCTCATAATGAACATGCCGATGGTTGTGAAAATGGGCTTTTTAATTCTGATAACAGCAATTCTAGAGAAAAGCTTGAAGGTGAAGATATGTTGGGGGACCAACTAGGTAAACAACGACTTGACACTGACACATCAAGTGTGCTAGACTATAATAATTTCGGAATTCTAAACGATAATAATAGTTTGAAAATGCGGGAAACATCAACTAATTCACCTACACAATATACGGCCGGAATGTTTTATAATGAAAAGGAGTGCACAGATAGTAATAGATTTCATAGTAATCAGTATTACGTTCATAATGAAACGCGTACTGATGGTGCTACTACGAAAACAACATCAAGCAATCCTCGGACCTGGGAAGAAAATGTGCCGTTCAATCCAGATATGCAATTGTCAAAACACCAAGAACTACATCAACCCAAGCAACAGAATTGTAACTTACACGAATTCAATGAGGCCGACCGTAAACCTGTGGCACCTTATTCGACATGCATAGATAGCACACAAGCAAACGGTCTAGCACAACGTGTCCATCGCTATAGATATGATTCAATGAATACAACCCGTGATGGAAACGAGCGATCAGCAACGAAAACAAGCCCGAACGTTAACAGTGATGTAGACTTAAAGCAATATGGTACAGCTGTCAGCTGTTGGCAACACAGTAATACGAATGGTAATGTAATTAATTCTGAAAACAGTGCTAATAATATTGATAATAACGATAAGGGCTGCGCAAGTGAAAGCCCTGTTAGGGAAAAAATAAAGAACTATAATAAAGAACAAACATATGTGTCCAGCCAATTGCATTGTATAAAGGATCATAACAGCCAGCAGTCTATGTATACACAGGAGCGTTCAGGTGATAGCAACTCACCGCAGCTGGCAGGGGTTGTGCCAACATCCACAAATATTAAAGGCATGAGTAATTGCAATACATCTCCTAATTTGAACGAAACTACACATTCAACGCAGTCGCCACGAAGCCACAACAAAAATGTAGATGATGTCTACGATGAAGTTGATAGTACCAGCACTAACGCTAAGACGAGCAAAGATTCGAATTATGTTGACCAACATGATGTGGCGTATATCGAAAAAGCAGGAGTTAATCGATATGCCTTATCATTAGGCGAAACCAGTAAGACCAAAAGCTCAGCATTAATAACAATATCAACAACTGCTACAAATGTAAATGATATAAGTGATACAACAACTTGTACCACTTCCACTACCACTACTGCTACTACTACTACTACTTCTATCAGTACTACCACAACTACAAAAGGTTGTGTAACAACAAATGTTACTATTAATAAAATTCCTAATTCTCGTGTTATAAAATCAGATTCTTCTGAAGTAATAACAACACCAGTTGCAACTGTAAATGCAGCTAGTACCGTTGATAATTGTGAAAACGGCAAACATATGGCACAAGTGCCATCTACAAACATAGTTAATGACAATGTGTTAGGCGAAAGTACTTATAATTTGAACAATTCTCAGGAGTTGGGGGAAACTTTATCAGCATCAGCAACGGCTTACGCACCTCCACACAGCAACACGAGTCAAAATTTAGATAACCGCAATGAGCCCTGGAACCCAACGCCTAACGAGCCCTACCAACGATATAACAATAGCAATCATTTTTGCCAATCCACTGTTGATGGTGGTTCAGAGGCCTGCCTGTCGGCGACAGCTGAGTTGTGTTACAAGATATCAGACGATACCAACGAGAAACCGTTAAAGGACCAACACCAACAGCATGCTGTCAGCAAAGAAAATGTCATCGATTTTAATAATAAAGAGCATCAGATGCATTATTCAAAAAAGCAGCACGGAAATGAATACATAACGCGGCAGACCATCGATGCTTCTGTCTCACTGATCGCCACGAATATCTACAATACTGAATTACAGTTACAACAGCAAAGACAAGGGAGTCAGGACATTCAACACTATATGCAGGAGGAGCTATGCCAACAAATGCAGCACCAGCAGCGTCACCAACTACAGGATCATCAACAGCAAGAAGAGTTAAATCGTCATCATCACCATCACCACCAACAGCACTATCCTCATGATGCATCTCAAGTAGTACAACAAAGTTCCTTGCATGATTATAACTTACATAGCCACCCACAACAATTACATCCGTTGCATGATGCATTGAGTCATAGCCATCAGCAGATTCAACATTTTGAGCAACAGCATCAGCTTGGGCAAAGGCATGATGAGGAACAGCAGCAGCATTTAATTGCGTATTTGCATCACACTACCGAACAGACCCGACTGCAAGAACAATTGCAACACCATGAATATCAACAACATCAGCAACAATTTCATCAAGAACAACAACACCTTCATAATCAACATCAGCAACAACAACAACAAATGCAGACAAATTTCCTGTTAATAACAAAAAAACAACAGCATCCACAACCACATATATCAATGGATTTGAAACGTATAAATCGTCCGCCACCCACTAGTATTGATGACCTCATAATAGACGAATTCTCAGAAGATCCCCATGCAACCTATAAACTGTGAGTAGTGTATGAGAAGCCATTGACTATTTACTAAATTTAATTATAAATACATGTAATTTAATTGTGGAAATGTTTTGAATAAGTTATAATATATCCACATTGTTAAAACTTTAGGCTAGGCAAACATATGTATGTTTCATCAACCAATTCTATTTGTCTGCATCCTGTCATAATTTCTTTTTATCGATGCTAGCTAGCAATGTGGTGGTATATAAGTTAAAGAACAGGGGATAAATCCTGTCAAGGAGATAAATTATTTTCGGCTCAGTCTCTCAATGATTCATCTTAGCGTGTGTGTGTAATTTGCTGATTTTCTTTTAAAATATTTGCGCACTGAAAGAGTATATTAGGTTTGTCACGAAATTTCTGACTCCCAGAATAAAAGGTGCGACCCAACAATATATATATAAAATTTCTTTGCCAAATTTCGTAAAGATACCTTGTCAAATTAAATAGTTTCCTATACAGGGACTTTATTTTGATCGTTCAGTTATTATTACAGCTATATGCTATAGTTTTCGATATCGAAGGTTAAAACAAATATATATACATATATATTGATTAAAAAGAACCTGAGCATTTGTTTTAACCGTCGATATCGAAAACTGTAGCATATAGCTGTAATACTAACTGAACGATCAAAATAAAGTCCCTGTATAGGAAACTATTTAATTTGACAAGGTATCTTTACGAAATTTGGCAAAGAAATTTTACCGAGGACATCGCTTAAATTGTTAAACAAATTGTTCAGATCGAACCACTTTATCACATACACATAGTAGTAGTATTAAGTTATAATGTAATTTGGTTATAATATTTTTATAAAAACAAACAATATTATAAGCAAATTTGACACTATTTCTCAAGAAATCGGAACACAGAAGTGGAATCGTATTACGCATATGATCTTACCAATTAGGTATGCCAAGCTTTTAGGTGATATATGTACTATATTGCGGTAGTTTTTTTTTTATAAAATCGCTTGTGCGTGAAAAGTTCTCTGGATCATGTGACAGTGAAAATGAAGAAAATCGGGGAATTATATCATACATATACAACCAGCAGCTATGAATTAAAGGTTAAAAGTTCGAAATTTTTCAGAATAGAATCCTGTGTACTTTACAATGGCAGTGAAAATAAAACAAATCGGAAAACTTTATCATACCTAAGACTGCCATAGAACCGCCCATTAAAAAATAAATAAGGCATTGCTTTCTGATTTAATTTGTATTTATGTATACAATTCCTTTGTTTGACTTAAAAATATCATAGATTAAAGGGTTCACATTAGTTAAATATTGGTAGTCGAAAAAGTCTGTTCGTATTTCTAATCAATGTTTTACATATCTTTTTTATATTTATAATCATAAACAAATAAACAAATTACTTCCATTTTGGTCGACCACTTCAGTCATTTTTTCGCTAGAGACATTATTTTATCAGTGTAAAACTTTCATCAGTGTAATTCGAAATTTCCAGAACGGAAGCGAGCGAACCATTGTTGTGCTACAGGAACTAATATAGCATCGTCTCCATAAAATTCACAAATTTCATTGATGGCTTGTATGTAATTCTTCTCTTTGTTACCCAAGAATGGCCAAATATAGCGAATTTCTTCATTGCTTTGACTCATTTTTGAACGGTTTCCTACTTCCCCGAATCTAAATCTCAACTTTGCCACACTATATGACACAATGTTGTTGGTAGCATCGAGATATACAACTGCAACGAAATATATAGACAAAATACGAAAATACTTTTTCGATTACAGAATATTATTGCACAATTAATGTACATGCAACATTGTGAAAACGATACCCCGAATTTTAGTCAACTTTATATTTTATTCCAGTGGTCTTTCACCAAATCACGTTAAGCATGAAAATCAAGATGATGGGTATGAGACAAGCGCGGGCGATGTGCTCACCCCAAATTCTCACAGTTCATCAACACATTCGGTGACGCCACAACATCAGATTCAGCATGGTATCAATATTATACCTCAACGGAAGTATGAAGAGCAACAAATGAAAATACAGCAGCCTCTCCAAAGCACCACTGCTGGTGATGTAAAAAACCAACAACAACAATCGCCGCGGAATAATACACAAGGAACACTGCAAGGAATGGACAATACAGTTAATCAAAGCGACGAAGTATCAGGTTTAAACGGGAAGGAAATTTTACCTGTGAATTCATATTCCTATATGGAAGACATAGCGGGAACAATTACAGGAGTTTCCAATACTAGTAACAGTGCAAATAAAAGGATTATTAATATGCCGCAGGACTCACAACTTAATATTAAGACTGTTAAAAATAGGGATGCAACTGTAGAATCTTATATGTGTGCACCCACTAATATAATGAGTCATAATGTGAATGATATGTATAGTATTCAAAATCAACAACAACAACAACACCAAAACCAACCGCAACAATTGCATGCAGCCAACAACGAATTACCCCAATCAATGGATTATAATTTAAAAATTAAACCAACATCTGGAAATGGATTAGGCGATGCTGAAATGTTGGAACAGACTGTGATAGATCAAAACTTGCATCAGCTGCAACTTCCCCAACAATCCCACACGCCAAACCAATTAATTTTCACGGAAAACAATGTGATCCTCAGGCCACCACAAAAGAAGCGTGGTCGCAAAAAGAAAATTCAGCCAAACACCGACAATACATTGCCGTTATCTTTACAATTTCTAACTGGCAGCAACGAATGCGGTATAGCGCCTGGTCCAAACGGAGAATTGTCATCCATGTAAGTAACAGCAAAAAATATTGATACTTTAAATAATATATTCGTATTGTCTTAAAGCTGCCTCGCAGACAACAATTTAAAGAATTCAAGTGAAAATCATGCTACCGGTCTGCTTAAGTCGAAGGAGCGCAAGAAACACGACCGTTTCAACGGAATGTCCGAAGAGGAAGTCGTTAAGCGTACACTACCCGACCATTTATGTGAAAATCTTGATATAGTCATAGTGAGTGTAAATTTCCAATTGATCATGTCTCTAAATAACTTTAAGTTATTAACTTTATATAACCGCAGTCAATATCTAGATTAGTCAAATTGTGAAAGTGTTATAATCATAGCCATTAGGTCTTAATCTGCATTAACCATAGTGTAGTTGTACTATTTAGATTCTTGACAATTCATGTACTTACAGATTGGAATTAACCCTGGCTTATTTGCTGCATATAAAGGGCATCATTATGCTGGACCTGGCAACCATTTTTGGAAATGCTTATACCTTTCCGGTCTTACAAGAGAACAAATGAGCGCTGAACAGGATTACAAACTATTAAAATACGGTATTGGATTCACAAATATGGTACAACGTGCCACTAAGGGCTCTGCCGACCTTACCCGTAAGGAAATCAAAGAGGGTAGCCGCATTTTAGTTGAAAAGCTTCAGCGATTTCGTCCTAAAATTGCCGTATTTAATGGGAAATTAATATTTGAAGTCTTTTCTGGAAAGAAAGACTTTAATTTTGGTCGCCAGCCAGAGTGCGTAGAGGGTACCGATACCGTAAGTTACAAGACTTATTATATTATTTATACGTCTCAATATTTATTTGCATTACAGTATGTATGGGTTATGCCATCATCATCGGCAAGATGCGCACAGTTGCCGCGGGCAGCAGATAAGGTTCCCTTCTATGCTGCGCTTAAAAAGTTTCGGGACTACTTGAATGGATTAATACCACATATGGACGAGTCGGAATGTATATTCACAGAACAAAGAATTAAGCAGGTTTGTGAGCAAGAGAATGAGAAGAATTCTGTTACTATCACTTCAGCAGTAGAGGTTTTATGTGGAACTCATAGTGGTGCGGGTATACTTAATGCAACAGACGGCATGGCCATTGCATACAAAATTATGCCAATGCGTCCAATGAACGACGATGAAACAGGTGCGTCCACGCAATATCATGGAGCCGGTGCCGATGAGATAGGCAATGATATCACTGGACTTTGTGTCGATGCTGCCAATTGTGGTGGTTGCCCTAACACTAGCAACGGCAGTGGCGCCGTGATGAACAATGGTGGAGGTATCAGCAGAGATAGTAGTACTATGCCGAATGAGAGTTGTTCTATCCGCCAGGAGCAGGAGAAATTTCCTAGATTTCAAGGGAGTTCTACGGAATCTACCTACATATATACGACAAATGAGAGTGAACGTGGACACAATATTACGGCTCATACGGCTGGTACTGGACCAGCGCCATCATTACCGCCAGGCACTTCAGTTATAGGTTCCAGTATACAGCAACGAAATGAAAACTACATGATAACTGGAAGTTACGTACAACCGCCACCGGGGAAAAAAAAACGGGGGCGTCCAAAAAAAGTTAAAGACGTGGACTCAATTGATACAGTCGCTCGTAATCGCATGCAAATTTTGGGACAAATGTCCAGTACTAACGATTTTGGCAACATATTGAATTTGTCAATGATGGGTGGTGGCGTACCTGGTCAATGTGGCAACGATGCCCTGTTGGGTAGTGCCGGTGTCGGCATAGTCAACGGTAACTGTGAGACCCCAAAGAAGAAGCGCGGCAGACCAAAGAAAGTGAAACCAACAAATGAAGCACAGCAAAATCAAAATACATTAATACATGGAGAGTCACATGCAATACCAATTCCGGCACTTAGCGGCGTGGATAATAATTTGTCTAAACGCATGAATCAACAAGTAAATGCAATTTATTGCAATAAGGAAATGCCAAAGCAGCAACAACAGTCGACGCAACAAATGTACACATCAAGTTCGCCAATGAGATCACCAGCGCTAAATTGTTCATATTCTGGTATAACACCGCCGACTTCAACGCAATCTACATCGCCCATAAATCAACAGAATTGCGATAAATTGCATGAGAATGTCAGTAGCATCATGGAAAATCCCACGAACTTAGCAGCACCTCACAGGGATACTAGCGGCAACAACAGCAATAGCTATTACAGCAGTAAACATATTGCTGTCATAAACTCGAATGGCTCGGAACTCCATGATGAATCAAATGTACCCACGCCACACGGTATAACTTCAAATGAACTTGTAAATGAAATGCCAGCCAACGCAACTATACAAGTATCTATAACTGCCCCTCACGAAACGCAATTGGGTGAGTCTCCACCTCCAAGCTCACCAAACATATGTACAGTAGACTTTGAACCGCCAGCAGTAGGTGGGGCTCTTGCAAATGAAAACGGTACAGAAATACGTCATCGGCGGCCAATTGAAATTGAATCACGTATACAACAACATCAGCAGTTGCAACAGGGCACTCCATATGCTAGTCCGGTAAACGAGTCATCGTCTGAACATCAAGGGAACGATCACTATCAGCAATGGTTGTCACCGCACACAGCCATTTCATTGTCAGCACAATATACTCTTCACCAACCAGAACAAATACAACAACAAGAACAGATTTTGAATTTTGAGCAACAGCAGTTGCATCATATGCATCAACTACAGCATTCAGTACACCGGGAACAATCAACAACGCCTATGCATGCACAATGGTTGCGGCAGCACCGCTACGATGATATCGTTGGTGGTAATTATAGCGTCACATCACCACATTTACATCACCAGCAGCAGCAGCAAAGACAGCATCATGTGCCGCACCTTAATCAGCAACAACAGCAAAATAGTAGTGAGAATCTGCACAGTCATATGTCGCATCATCACTCACGTTTACCTACAGATTTGACCAGCAAAAGCCTCTCTGGCCTGGAGTCACTAGTCGATCAAATTCCTTCTCTGTCAGATAATAACTCAGTACCCATACCACCAGCGATAGAAAATAGCGGGGTAAATGCAGCAGTTGAGAGTCGCTTACAAAGTTTACAGCAAGAGCAACAACAACAGCATATTCATCAGCGACAACCGCACATGATTGCAATTGATACATCGGTTGACATACATACCGATCCTTATTGCACACCAAACAGCACAATAAATGCGATTCCTGCTGTATCCGATACGATTGATACAATAGCGGCTAACAATAGCAGCGGCAGCAACACCCCGCTTCCAGTTAATGGTTTATATAGCGCGAATTCTCCGCGCAATTATAGTATTCATCGACTTAATTCCTCAGCTGCGTCATCACCAATAATGATGTCACCCCACCATCATCAGACACAACAACAGCAAGTTTCGTTACATCAACCTTACGGAAATTCAGTAAGCACGCCCCTAATATCAGATGTTTTATTATCTTCAACGCCAATGACGAGCTCAGCTAGCCATACAAATAGTCCAGCCGACAATAGTTTGGTTGAAGAATCTGCAAACGCATGCACAGCAACAAGCAGTGGGACTATCAATACTTCAACAGCACCAATCAGCCTGTATAACAACGTAACAACCACGAATATACACAATATGAGTTCCAATAACTTTTCAGTAAGCAATTTAGCCGCCTCATCTGTTACGCCCATTAATAGTTGTAGCAGCCACAACAATTATGCTTCATTGTCGACAACAACATCGGCAGCTGCCGCAAGCAATGTATATCACCATACAAACTTTATTGCCGCTGCTGCCTTAGCTGCTGCCGCTGTGAATTCACCCACCAATCATTTACAGACATCAGCCAGCACTGCCGCTGCCGTGGCGGCTCATCACGCAGCGCACCACCATGTTGCGCATCAACAAATGTATTCACATGCACATTTGCCCCCGCATATGGCAGGCGTTAATTCAATGTATGCTCCAGCACCGACACATCATCATCACCATTTGACACATCACCCGGTACACCATCATCATCACTCACCATACGGTGCAACAGTGCAACACAGTACTAATAACGATTACGGCAATCCTTATTGTACGACCACCGTTACCGCTGCACCACAAAATGCTCCTATCCATTTACATAGTCCCAATTATCCCTACAGTTATGGAAGTCAAGTAGCTGTTGCAGCAGCAGCTGCAGCCCAGAGTAATTATCCCACAGCAATGCATCCTCATCATACACAGTCCCCGGAAGCGAGCGCACCACCACCACCTGGTGCGGTTACCGCCGCTGCGGCAGCTGCAGCTGCAGCCGCTGCTGCTGCCGTTTATCATACTCATCACCCCGGTCATCATCCTCATGCAACACATCCGTTATCGATGTTTGATCGACTGAAACCTTCCGATATAAGTGGTTATGGCGGGTTCTGATGATGAACAAAAAATACAAATTACGTGTATGCATATGATTGCGAAAAGTTGAGCCATGGCGAAAGCAACTGAAAGGTATTGTTTAACTATCAGCTTAAAGCATAATTGTAACACTTGCGAAACATCCATTTTATTAGCAAATTTACATCCGTATACATCACATCTGTATACATTATACTTAAATGTTATTTAAGCAATTTAAGTCAACCAAAGACAAAGATTTAAAAGTCGTTTCCAACTGGCCGATCTTTTGTGACACCGTCTGCCTGTCTTCTTTTACGAATAATAAGGCATTCACTTAGTTTTGAGTGTTTTATCATAGACTAAAATTCGTATCATATATTCAAATGAAGTAATGTATTACATATCCATCTACTTTACCTCATTTATACAATAGAATACCTGCACTTTCTTCAATTCAAATTCCACTGTTAACATCGGGAATTCATACAAACAATTGAATGTGACTCTGTTTATACTTAGGTAAATATTAATTTATTCTTCATAACGAAATAAACAAAACATCCACTCACTTTCTCCTCATATACATAGCCAAAACTGACTTTAGCTTTGCCGTTTTTTGAGAATCGTATAATCAAGCGTACTAAGCTGTTCAAGTGAAATCCCTCTTAGGATACATAAATATAATCTTCGGAAATGGGTTTTGAGTTAATAAGAAAGTTTTGGATTGTTGTCGTCTCAGTTTTAGATTTGTCCCACCATAACCCCAACACATAACATGATACAATAAACCAAATAATATATGCTTGAAACATTTCATGTAAGAACAACAACAAAGATACCGAGTGGAATTCTTACAAGAGAGTACTAAAGTGGATAGCGTCTAACTTCTTTAGATCAAGTTTACTATTGTGAATGGTTTAAATGACAAATGAAAATACAATTCTTTAAAACTAAAGACCTAATTGCATGTAGTAATTTATAGAAAACAAAAATAAAAGGTTGCGACAACGTGTTTTTTAACTCGAATAAATATTTTTCCGCTAACAAAAAGTCATAACACTTACGAATGCGTCACAAGGCATGTTAGCGCAGGGTGCACTTCAATTGTTTCCATTTATTTGAACATCTGGTATAGTTTGTTCGATTAGCTGGAAAGTAACGCATGCCGGATTTAAAGACAGCTAATGTACTTGACAATTATTCGATTAATGTAAAGTTTTTAGTACTACATAAATCTAATGGATATGAATGGAAAATTGAAAATGCAACGACCACGGTGGTCGATCTCGTAGTAAATAATTCTGAAATGTCCAATATAAACATTTGTTGTGATAAGATTTTTTAAACCAATTTAACAAAAACGCTAAAAATTAAACTTATTATCCGATATTAAATCTATTAAAAGAGTTATTTAGGATACATGGTCCACTATGTCCATAAACAAAATTCAGTTTATGTATATTTATAATTTTTTCACTAGCTGCGAGTTTATCTAGTGTTGCTCGTTCAGCTATATGTAATCAGATCCGTTCTTTTATGATCATATGTATCTCCGAAAAATTCGCAAGCCCTTAGCTACAATCACATATTTAATATATACGTATATGAACAGAAGGCTTAAACAAATATTTGTTTGTTATAAAATGTATCGATATACTTTTAAATACATACGTATTTAATTGAACTACTAATGAAAATTATGTGGTAATTTAGATTCGTACAAAATTTTCAAATAAACTTAATAACGAGTGACAATTTTACTAAGTACATAATAAATTTGAAACAACAAAGCGAAAGATAAGAAAATAACAAATAAGACACTTTTAAGCTAATTTTAAGATATTAAACAAGTAAATAAATTTTTTGTATATAAATATTTGATTCATAAATGGCTTCAAAAGCTATTATGTGGAAAACAATAATTTTAAAAAATTCAACAAAGAAATCATGAACATAAAATTAACTGTGTGATTATCAACTTTTTATTTTCCTAAGAAAACTGATTAATCTAAACACAAAGGAAACTATTGACACTTATTTAAGAATTTATTATATAACTAAAGCATAGCAAAATAATATATATGAAGATGAAAAATAATAATAATAATAAAATAAAAAGTTAAAATTAACGAACCAACAACTTATTAAAAATTGTACTCCGTAAAGTAATGACATTTCTACGTAACTAGTAAATTTCGAGAATTATTTAGTTCAGTACTTATAAATCATACAGAAAGTCAGCAACAACATACTGAATACGAAACAAAAGTTGCACTGAAATGAAAGTAAAAAAATCCGGTTATAAACTTATTTTGGGGGGGAGGTGTAGTTGGTGTTGTATGTATGTACGAATGAAGTAAGATTTTCAGCCAAACAAATCTATAAAAATAATGAATGTTTTTACGAAGTAATTGAATTAAAAAGTTGGATAGGCGAAAGAAGGACTGTAGGGGTTCACATCTGCTTGCCCAGAGCAATTGCAAATTCAAAAGTGTAAGTTGTTCAGAAAAGGTACGTTTTTAAAAAATTCTTCTTTTCAACTGTAAAAAACAAATAAAACTATTTTTTTATGCTTATATATCTACCGACGTTCATATAGTAGATCAATCATAATAAACGTTAAAAGTATTTTGTTGTTTGAATGTCCTTTTTTTTTCAAACAATGCATAAGGTGTTAGGTGTAGTCAGAGGCAAAGCAGCGTTTGCACATATTTTTTAGAAGAAAATTGATGTATTCTATATCAACATAGCAACATTAAATAAGATTTCGACATAACAGAGATTTGAACAAAAATTTAAAAGTAAAGTATTTGTATTTGTGTTGATTCAGTTCCACCCGAAGCTCCTTGAGGTGACTATTACCAGCCCGTAGAAATTCATTGAAATCAATCGAACAAAAAAGTAGTTTATTAATAGATATATTTTTTTAATTCACAAAATGGCGAGCTTAAAAACTTTTTTCCAGCTTTTCAGGAAAATACCAACAGTCAATTGTTGTTAAAAAAATGGAAATTAACAACAAAAATTTACTACTAATTCTTCATAATTTGAAAAGCTGTAGAAATTTTATTGCATTCTACCGAAAATAAGTAATTACACCAAGCGTAAAGTCGCAACAGTAAAAATGGAATTTTTAATTTTCTTTCTTACGTTAATTTTACAGAGTAGATCGTAATATAATTATGAATGTAAAAAATAGTGTCAAATAAACAAGTCTATTAATTCAAAGCACCAAGTTACTTCCAAATATAAACAAGTAAATGACTAAGTCCGGATGTAACCTATCATTGCATACCCTTGCAACTTTCAAGGATTGAAGGCGGAGAAATACTTTGAGGTGTTGGTAAAACTTTATATTAAAAATTTTTGCGAACGACAAAATAGAGAATGAATTAGGATAAAATTTAGTATTTTATTAAATTATATTATAGTCATGGACTCAACTAGTTATAATCTTGTAACATACTGCAACAGAGATATTAGTTATGTGCAACTAACGGTTGTTTTTATCACAGAGAATTTCAGTTGCCAGGGAATGGTTAAGGGATTTGTCCTGAGCGAATTTGATAATTCCATCTTAAGTGGTTTAGGAAATGTGGTTTAGCCTATAGGTACGACTTGCTACTACGTACCAACCCTGTGCCACATTTCCATTTTTTTTATCTTAATTTAGAGTTTAGTTATGACATATTATAGGTTTACAATTAATGGCGTTTTGTGGGCGTACATATGAACTAACATATTAATTTGGATTTTAACTCCCCTCGTCATCGTGCTCATTTTAATAATATAACTCCATATATATCTCAATTAGTCTCAATTGATAAAAATAACCGCTTTGTGAACAAAACTATTATAATCTGTAGAAATATATTGCAAGAATATAAAAATAGTACACATTAAGATTTTTTTGTAAAAGGAACTGATTACTTTATATGTTATACTGTATATGTTTATATATACTATTGGATTGAGAGAAATATTGTAATCTCATAATCACATGGTCATATTTCTGGCAAGATTACACTTGGTCACTTGAGTTGTCGGGAGGAATTGCAAGAACACTGAAGGGCGCATAAGATTATAATTTTCTTAATACTTGTTTCTGTTTCCTCAGCATTATATGAGTTAGAGATGGTTTATTCGGTTCGGGCTCAAGTTTCGAAAAACATCTTCAAATTTACTTAGAGTGCAAAGAAAGTGTATCTTTAATCAAATTATATCTGACAGATTGACCAACATTTGTGGTAAAAAGTTCAAAGTCTTGAATAGGGTGCGACTTGGACAATTTTTGATCATAAAGTGGCCTAATGTAAGGACACTATTCCCGTAAAGTTTTATCTGTATGCATTCATCATTTGAATACTGAAAAATGAAACAGTCATATGTAATTTAAAATTGTGTTATATGGGAAATAGGCGTGGTTGCAGTCTGAGTTATGGCACTTTATAGATTTCCATTTAATGGCGATTTGTGGGCGTAGCAGTGGTCTGATTATGCCCATCTACGACCTTTTCCTCTCTTCGTTTTGCCAAGAAAACGTGTACCAAGTTGCATTAAAATATCTTAATTTTTTACTTATGTCACAGCCGGCGCAGACAGATGGGGGGACAGATGGACATCCGAATATAACTCCACATCTATCTCGAGTAATGTTAGGTAATACAACCAACAGTTAAGTGAATTAAACTATTATACTCTGCAGTATAGTAGTATCAAAACCCTAAGCATATTTTTTTTTATTCATAATTATCATAATTTTATTCATAAATGAAAGAAAACTCTGCATTGTAATACATTAGTCAAACAAATAATCATAAAAAGCTTACTACATATTCGCGTGAAGAATCTGTTGTAATATTTAAAGTAGCCACGCCTTAATTTATTATGAATAATTTAAGTTATTCTTGCCAGTTTATTCAAGAATATACGAAGTGTAAAAAGCGAACATTTTAAATTACGACTAAATCAAAATAAAAAATATTCATAAGTTTTTGCTACAGATAAAACATAAGGCCACAGAAACAACTTTGCATATATTCACACACAT